GGGCAGTTAGAGGAAGCTGGGCAGGTGAGGGGGGCATAGGGTCGTTACAGGCAGCCTGGATGCTGGTGGACCAGAGTTCAGAGCAGAGCCCAGGTGAGCCTGCTGTGCCCATTGGTTCAGACCTTCATCCCTGCCCTGGCCAGGGCTCCCCCTCCATCCTCCAGGATGCAGCCTTGGGAGGGCGTGCCTGACCCTCCTTTACAGACTTCCAGGGGTGCCGTCAAGCCCCAAGGGCAGGTGCTGACTCTGTGCGGGGGGCCCCCCCGCCCTGCCCCGCAGAAGCGCTGCCTGCCCGGTGTTCTGTCCTCCGGTGTGCGGCTTTAGCTCCCCCACGTCTGGGCTGTCCTCCTGCCGCTGCTGGCAGGGATGGCGTGGCTCAGGTGTGCACCTGAAGGCTTGCACAGCCTCGGGGCACCAGCCTGGGACCGAACATACGGGGTGAAGGAACGAGGGAGGGTGTCGAGATGACAGGCAGCCTCCTAAAGAGGGCCTGGCCGGGGCAGGGGGCGGGATTGGCCATCTTCATCTCTGCCCACCATACCCCAGCTCGCCATGCCTGGCAGGTGCTCGCCAGGTGGGTGTGGGGAGACGGAGGGGTGCACCCAGCCTCTAGGGGCTCAGGTCCACCTAGCCAAGCAGGGTGCCGGCCTGGGGCTCAGTCGCACACCGTTCAGACGGTGTCCTGTTGAGGGCAGAGGGCGAGCCGGCGGGTCCCCCACCCCACACCAGGGTGAGTTACACCTTACCGCGTGGCTCTGCGCGCCGGGCCCTCTGCCCGCCCCGAGGGTGGAAGACCCGCGCTGGGCTGGTGGCGGAGCGACGGCCAGGGTGTGCTTGCCAAGCTCGGGACTCCGGCCGTCCTTCATCAGCTGAGCTAACCCCGGGCCAGCCCCGGCCCTAGGTGGTGAGCTCTCTCCACAGCTCTACGGCACTTAGTCCTTCCAGAGCCCCACCGCCGAGACCGCCCCGCCCCATCCCGTCCGGTCCCCGTCCCGTCCCGTCCCCACTGTAGAGAAGACGGGGCTCTGCCAGGTCACGCGCCGGCAGCGGGGGAGGGGACTTGAGCGCAGGGACCTGGCGTGTGGCCTGTGCTCTTGGCCCTTGTGGCTGGATTACGTGGCCTCTCAAACCAGCGTCCTTTCCCTCGCGAGGTGCCGTGACGTTGAGAGTAGTTCCGTGACCGTGCCTTGTAAACTGTGAAGTGCCTTACAAGTGCCGTGTGTGTGATGTGTGTGGAGTGGCCGCAAGGAAAATGTGGGGCTCAACAGCGGGGCGGTCTGCGGTCCTCCCCTCCCGCAACCACTGTCCCCTCGTCTGAACCCTCCTGTCTCCACCCTGCGGACGGTCGGCTGGGCGCTTTCCAGACCCCAGCTCTGAAGGGGTCACGCCAGGGATGGAGAAGTAGACGAGATTCTTCTGGGGGCAACTTCCCAGAAACACACCCAGACCGCGGGGGAGGTCCAGGCAGATAAAACAGTCCTGGGAGGGTGGGGTGGGCACGGAGATCTCAGATGTGCTGGGAGACTGACCTTCTGCACAGGTGCTCTGGGGACCAGCTGCCCTTCCAGACTGTTCCATGAAAGCTGCCGGACTGGGAAATCACAGACCCACGTGTTCTCATGCGGGGAGTGATGTTGAAGAGAACAGTCATTATGAACAAAATTATGCCTCAACAGCTTGTTTCCTGCCTGTGCTCTTTGCTGAAATAATCCTCTGCTGTCATGGAGCACCTTGGAGGACCCTAGGTCCTCTGGCTCTGTGAAGACAGTGGGGTGATGGGGACCCCAGCTTTCCTGGTCAGCTGTGTGCTCTTGGGTTTCCTGGAACTTTGTGGACAACGTGGAGGGGGCTGAGCACACCTGTGTTTGCCACCATGCGGGCTGTCATCCTGTGGGGCCCCCGCTCCGAATTGTGTGGGAGTCGCCCACGAGTGCGGTGGTGGCCGTGCTCCCCAGGCCGCCACCGTGAGGGCCTGGGCGGGCTCCCTGCAGCCCAGACCCCATCGGAGGTGAAGCTGGGCACGACTGGCATGCCTTTAAATGGATGACACGCCTTGCAGGGCGACTGAGCACTCGGTGACCCCGGGCCGCGGGGGAGGCCGGCCCTACCTGGCCAGCCAGCCGGGCTCCGGGAGAGGGCAGTGGTGCAGGAGGGTGATGCGGGCTTCTCTGTCCCCTGAGCCCGCCCAGCCTGGCTGCTGTGTGCGTGGTGGCATTCCGGCCACACGCCTCGGGAAGGAGCGGGAGGGACAGTGGGTTTCTCTGGAGCCCCCGCCCTCGCGCCGGGAGACCCCAGCAGAGTTTGGGCAGACACTGCTGCCTGCTCCTGAGGGGACTCACGAGTCCTCGAGGCTGGAAGCGCGTCAGCATTCGGCGCTGGGATGCGTCCCCCGCCGTCTGCGCTGCTGGGCCCACAGCCCTTGCTTTTGGTCAAAACTGACATTTTACGTTCTGTCCTTTTAAATTATGGAATAATCTTCAGCCTGAGTTGATAATTTTAACTCACCGTGTGCTCCCCTGTGAATTAGTCACACCTTGTGCCTGCGCCCCGATGTCTGTTGTATCCGATCTTCGTCTTCCGTTTGCTTTGCGGACGCCGGTCCCAGTGCCGCTGAGATTCACCATGTCCTCAGTCGTTAGAGGACCCGCATCAGTGCCTGCAGTTAACTCGACATTATTTTGTTCAGAAATCGGATTCATCCTAGATCTTGGGAGAGGGATTTGTATGATGCATAATTAAACATGTCACCCCCCCCTGCCCAGCGCCAGCCTTGGAGTGCCCCCGGCCACGGGCTGGGGCTCCTGGCAGCGCTGTGTGTCTGCTTTGCAGTGTGTGACATTCCTCTGTACGACATCTGTGACTACAACGTCACCAGGGACCGCTGCAAGGAGCTCGGCTGCTGCTTTTATAAGGGCGTGTGCTACGAGAAAGCCGTCCCCGGTGAGCATCCGCGCCCCCCGCCCCAGGCCGAGCAGCCACCGAGGCCCACGGGCTTCGTGCCCCCGCGGCCTCCGCTGCGCCCCGGTTCCATCACTCTGGCGAGTTAGCGGGGCGAAAGGAAGTTCACTCCTGGATGGAACTGAGCTGATACAAGAAGGGTCCCGGGAAGACCCTGGGCATGCGGGGAGGGGGCAGAAGCAGCTGGTTCGAGGCGGGGCTGGCCGCCGGCTGTGCCCAAGGTCAGACCCCACGGGGCTTCTCCACAGCCCTGTCACGGTCAGCATAAAACCAGACCCCACTGAGTGCGCCCTGACCCTGGGAGTCCGGGATGCGCCTGGGACGGCGGGGCCAGCAGGGAGTCCCGAGACGGGGAGGCTGTGGGAGCGGGGGGAGGCCACCACCCCCACAGTAGGGCCTGCTTCCGCCGGGGTTGGGGGATTCACAGTTGAGTGGGAGAGTTAGGTGCGGGGCAGGATACAAGCTGGGATGCCCTGGGGGAAGGGGTCTTCTAGTTACACCGTCTGGGGCTTTGCTCACACTTCAGAGCTTTGGGCCTCTCGGCCTCTAGAATTTTCTAAATTAGTATTTCCAAACCCTCACAAAATTCACTTGATGATTGATGTGTTTTCTTGCCCTGTTTGTGGCCCTTTTAGAAATGAGGGTGCTTGGCTCTAGGAGTGTTTGGAGAGGAATGGGGTGTGTGTGGCGGGGCGGCCTACACAAGGTCTTGCCAGAGAGGAGGAAGGTGCCCCACAGACAGAAGCTGGCATGGGCCACGGACACTCAGCAGCTCCCATGCTGTGGGAGAACGTGTCCTGGGCCCTCCCTGTCCCAGGCCACTCTCCCCTGTCCTCACCTCCCCAGTGGATAAAGGCACGCTTGTGCCGGGAGACGGGAAAGGTTTCTTGTTCTCTCCTCCGAGCCCCAGGTAGGCTGAGCCCTTGGAGGTGAGACGCAGAGTGAGCTCTCTCATTCCCGGACATGGGAAGGCCTAGGAAGTCAGAAACATTCATGACTCATAACTGTTCCCAAGGAGTGACCCATGGGGCTGCCTGATCCCACAGACCCCAAACCCTAAGCCAGCTCCTTGTTCAAGAAGGAAGTGACGTTCTGCGCAAAAAGATCGAAGAACCCAAAGCATCCGCAGGGTCCTGGCTCGCCAAGGGGGTGCATCTGTCTGGCTTTATGGTGAAGATTTGGCACTTAGGGCAAAAGAGGAGGAAGTTTGGCTTCTCAGAAGGAGGTGAAAGCAGAGGCCACAAGAAATGCCATTACTAGCTGAGAAGATTTTCTGATGACAATTTCTCATCCAGATCTTGAGTTGGAAGGCTTGGGACCAGACTCTCCTTACTTCTCACTGCGTCTGGGAGACCCGAGCAACCCTAGGATCCCACACCTTTCCCTGTACCTGTAGATCGAAACAGCTGGAAGTTACCTCTTTTTTGGTTATTTTTATTGAGATAAAATTCTCATACCGTACAACTTACCCCTTTAAATAAAGTGTACAATTCAGTGGTTTTTAGTGTCTTCACAGAATTGGGCAACCATCACCATTATCACTTCCAGAACATTTGTATTAGCCCCAAAGAAGCCCTGTACTCATCAACTGGACAATCCCCATCCCCTCCCACCTCCAGCCCCTGGTGACCACTGACCTGGACATTTCACATTCATGGAATCATACAGTATGTAGCCTTGTGTGTCTGGCTCCTTTCACGTGTTTTCAGAACTCATGCCCGTGGGAGCAGGTCAGCACTGCATTCCTGTTTATGGCTGAGTAATACTCCATTGTAGGGATAGACCGCACTTGGTTTATCCCTCTGTTAGCTGATGGAAATTTGGGTTGTCCCCACTTGTTAGCTACTAGGAACATGTGTGTATAAGTTTTTGCATGAACATATGTTTTCACTTCTCTTGGGTATTTACCCAGAAGTGGAATTTCTGGATCATTTATTAAATATACTTAAAATGTTTAAAGAACTGCCAAACTATTTTCGACAGTAGCTGCACTGTTTGACAGTCTCAACATTACCTAAATTCCAATTTCTCCGGATCCTCACCAACACTAGTTGTCTGTCTTTTTGATGTTCGCCGCCATGATGGATATGAAGTTGTGTCTCACTGTGGTTTGGATGGTATTTCTCTGATGAGTAATGATGTTGAGTACCTTTGCATGTGCATTTGGCCATTTGTATGTCATCTCTGAAGAAGTCTATTCACATTTCTGGCACAGTTTTTAACTAGATTAATTGTCTTTTTATTGTGGTGTTGTAAGAGCTCTGTATCTATTCTGGATAGTAGACCCTTATCAGATATGTGATTTGCAACTACTTTTCCCAATCTGTTGGTCATCTTTTCACTTTCTTGATAGTGTCTCTTTGAAGCACAACATTTTTTAGTTTTTTTTTTTTTCTAAGATTTTATTTATTTATTTGAGAGAGAGAATGAGATAGAGCATGAGAAGGGGGAGGGTCAGAGGGAGAAGCAGACTCCCCGCCGAGCAGGGAGCCCGATGCGGGACTCGATCCCGGGGCTCCAGGATCATGACCTGAGCTGAAGGCAGTGGCTTAACCAACTGAGCCACCCAGGTGCCCACATTTTTTAGTTTTGATGATGCCTCGTTTATCTATTTGTTCTGTGGTTGCTTGGGCTTTTGGTGTCATAGCTAAGAAACCATTGTCTAATCCGAGGTCACAAAGATTGACATCTCTGTTATTTTCTAAGAGTTTTATGGTTTTAGCTTATACATTTATGGCTTTGGTCCATTTTGACTCAATTTTTTTCTTCCACGGTGTGAGGCAGGGATCCAGTTTCATTCTTTTGCATCTAGATATCCAGGTATTCTAGCAGCATTTGTTGAAAAGACTATGCTTTCTCCATTGAATTGCTTTGGCATCCTTGTCTGAAATCAATTGCCCATAAATGTGAGGGTTTATTTCTGGGCTCTCAGTTTTATTCCACTAAGCCAGTACCACACTACTTTGATTACTATAGCTTTAAGGTAAATGTTGAAATTGAAAAGCATGACTTCTCCAATTTTGTTCTTTTTCAAGATTGTTTTGGTTACTATGGGTTCTTTGCATTCCATATTAATTTAGGACCAGCTTGTCAATTTCTGGGGGAAAAAATGCCCTCTGAGATGTTGATAGGGATTGTGTTGAATCTATAGATAACTTGGGGGTGGGATATTGCCATTTTAATAATGTTAAGTATTCCGACCCATGAACAAGGGATGTCTTTCCATTTATTTAGGTCATCTTTAATTTCTCTCTGCAATATTTTGTAGTTTTCCATGTACCAATCTTGCCTTTCTTTTGTTAAATTTATTCCTAAGTATTTTATTCTCTGATGTTATTGTAAATGGATATATGTCCTTAATTTGATTTTCAGATTGTATATAGAATCCTAGGTATAGACACAAGAGAATTGAAAGGTTGCTGGAATATAGAAATGCAACTGATTTTTGTATTGTGATCTTGTATCCTGCCACCTTCTTGGACTTGTGTATTAGTTCTACTCATTTATAGTTGATTACTTAGGATTTTCTAGATACAAGAGTGTATCATCAGCAAATAGAGATTTTTTTTTACTTCTTTTTTCCAATATAGTTGGTTTGATTTCATTTTCTTGCTTAATTGCCCTGGCTGGAAACTCTAGTACATGAGGAATAGAACCAGTGAGAATGGACATCCTCATCTGGTTCCTGATCTTAGGGGGATGTTTTCAGTGTTTCATCCATAAGTATGATGGTAGCTATGGGTTTTACCAAAGGTCAGGTTGAGTAAGTTCCCTTCTCTTCCTAGTTTCCTGAGTGTTTTTATTATGAAGGGATGTTGGATTTTATCAAATTCTTTTTGGGCATCTTTTGGATACCTTAGTGATGCTCTTTATTATTCATATGGATTTGAGTTACTGTCTAGTATCCTACCCTTTCATCCTGAAGGACTCCCTTTTAGTATTTCTTGTAAGGCAGGTCTGCTAGTGATGAATTCTCTCAGTTTCTGTTTGGGAATGTCTTAATTTGTCCATTTTTGGAGGATAGAGTCGCAGTGTATAAAATTCCTGATTAGCAGTCTTTTTCTGTCAACACTTTGAATATTTCATCATCTTGCCTTCTGGCCTCCAAGGTTTCTGATGGGGAATCTGCTGTTAATCTTTAGGTTTCTTTATATATATCATGTTGCTTCTCTTCTGTTTTCAAGATTCTCTGTCTTTTGACTGTTTATTAAGTATCTAGGGGTGGATCTCTTTAAGTTTATCCTAATCATCAAATTTAGGAAGATTTGTCATTTCTTCAGCTATTCTTCTCCTTTCTCTCCACTACTCCTGGGACTCCTGTTGTGCATATTGGTCCACTCCATGGTATTTCACAGGTCTCTGAGGCTCTGTTAACTTTTCTTGATTCTATTTTCTGTTGCTCAGATAGTCTCAGCTGATTTATCTTCAAGTTTGCAGATTCTTCCTTTTGCCTGCTCAAATCTATTGAACTCCTCTAGTGATATTTTCATTTCTGTTACACTCTCAGCTCCAGAATTTCTGTTTTGTTCTTTAAAAAAATAATTTCTGTGTCTGTAATTGGTACTCTCTATTTGGTGAGATATCATTCTCCTACTTTACCTCTTCCGACATGGTTTCCTTTAGTTTTTTGACCATATTTAAAGTAGCTAATGTAAAATCTTTGCCTAGTGAGCCAACATCTGGTCATCCTCAGGGACAGTTTCTGGCTTGTGTGTGTGTGTGTGTGTGTGTGTGTGTTCGTACTTTCTTGTTTCTTTGCATATCTAATATTTTTTTTATTGAAAACTAGACATTTAAAAATACGTGGCGGGCGCCTGGGTGGCTCGGTCGGTTGGGCGACTGCCTTCGGCTCGGGTCGTGATCCTGGAGTCCCGGGATCGAGTCCCGCATCGGGCTCCTTGCTCGGCGGGGAGTCTGCTTCTCCCTCTGACCGTCCTCCCTCTCGTGCTCTCTGTCTCTCATTCTCTCGCAAATGGATGAAT